ACACACACACACACACACACACACACACACACACACACACACACACGCACGCACACACGCAGACGCACACACGGAGAAAAGGCAGATTAGGACTGATGTTGCTGCTTGCTTGCTCTTGATGTTAACACGGCGGCCTCATGTGCAATCATTCAGGTGGATTGGCACCAAGCTGAGAGTAGAGAATGGGAAAAGGGAACACACGTGAGACGCTGAATAGGCCCGCAAACAGCTGTCGATGTGTGATGATCACAGGCCCTTGCACGCTTGTCCGCGAAGTCGAGACAGCAGAAGCATCGTCGCACAGTGAGACTCTCCGTAATGCTCACGATCTAAAGTGGGAAGTGCGACCAGCAGCGAGAGAGACCGTTGCCATCACCCAGGAACTGCACGCGTCATTCAGCCACACCGCTCAGGAACACCGGTTCACCGCACTGCTCAAACGCATTGGCGGGTGCTACGGTCGGAAAAGCACGACGAGACTCTCTCAATCAAATATCCCCTCGTCGCGTTCACAACGAGTGAGTGCTCTCTCTATCTCGCGATCTCCCGAGATCTTCCCAACATGGGCGAGCCAAAAGCAGGCAGAATTTGTAGGTTCAGTGAAGAGTGCGATGGGAGCACCTACCAGTAGCGGCAACTGCGGCATTCGAAGAAGAGGAGGGGTAGGAGGAGGGAGAAGAGGAGGAGGAGGAAGAAGAGGAGGAGACTCTCAAGAAAGAGGAATCGCTACTGATCAAGAGGAATCGCTACAGATCACTTAGTGCATAGGTTGCACTCAAAGCAAGGATGGAAAACATAAAAGCGCCACGTGGACAGCTGAGATTATGAGAGAGCGCACGGATTCTTTCGCGAGATAACAACAGGTCCACCTTCGTACGTTGCGAGACAGCGGTAGAAAATAGTCCCTCGACTGACTGATTTTGCCGGTTGGAATGAATCCGAGGCGAGCCGTCAAGCCTTGTAGCCCCGTCAAGCCGTCATAGCCAAAGACTAGGAGGCAATACAAATTACAAAACGAAACGGCCAGTCCGCCTTTCCTACCAGAGGTAGCACTCGCCCTGGCGATGACAGCGAACTTGCCGGCGGAAGGACCGAGTCACCCACCGGAGGCAACTTACCGAACCAACGAATAGCTGACCGAGGGACAGAAGCACCGGCGATGTGCGTCGTGCCTGGGCAACAGCAGGGCGCCGTGGCCGCCGCAGCACACTCCGTGGCGGTGAACGTTTCAGGGGAGAATGTGAGCGAGAGAGGAATCCACATGGCCCGCCCGCCCACTACCTGCAGCGCGGTAATGAAACCAATTCCAAATTTCAATGTTTGAATGAGAGCCGCGCGCGCACCCGTTCGTTCGCACGTGGGCTGTCGGCAAGGTTCAAAATTGCGCGGGCTTGCAGGCCGAGCGCAAGGTCCCACCAACTGCAGGGCCAGGGCAAGGTCCCACTTCCTGAGCACTACAAAGCCATCGAAAATAATGTCTCGGCAAACTTGCCATTTGCGGCAACTGCAGTTGCGGGCACATGTGTGCGTGCCCGGAAAGGCTCTTGTCAGAGGTGCATGGAAGTTCAGTTGCGCCCTACCGGTAGGCCCCACAGCCGCTTGTTGGCCATAAAAAGTGACCGCGGCCCAGACAATGCGATCAGCTTTGCTTACGGCCCCGGCCGAACCGAGGACCATCCTAATGAAACCATCTTCTTCAAATGAATCGAATGACTATTCAAAATTCTCTGAAAACTCCAACTTTCCCCAGTTGTTCCTACTTCCACTATTGCTCAGCCTTACTACCTACCCCATCCCGCCTAAGCCGGCGACCAGGTCTTTACGACCCAGTGGAACCTTAGTTCCTTATTGAGTGCTCTCCTACTGGACCACTGCGTCCCGACTAACCGAGTTCCCTGGTTTGTCAAATGGCACTCTCTATCCTCCTCCCTACTGACCGAGATGCCCTGGTCTCCTACCCCTGCCTACTCCCCCCGCCTACTCCCCTCGCCTACCTACTCTCCTACTCCTAGGCCAGTCTATTTGCTCAACCACCTAGAAACGATCAGACCTCTCGTGGAGTGGACTCCTGCCAACTGATTGCCCTTTGCCCAGGTTCTCAAAAACCACCACAGCTGACTGCTCGGGCCTTTTCCACTGTTGGTCTTCCTTCTCCAATCCGCCCAAATGGCTCTTCTCAGCCCTCTTTTTATCGCTGATTTGATCTCCAGATCTGAGAAGAGTCGGCTTCAAACCTGGATCGGTTTCTGTCAGCTAAAATGACCGAGCAGATTACCGCTCTTGTCACCTGAGCCACATAGGTCCAACCCTTCTTCCCAGTTTGGTTCTCTTCCACGAACCCCAACAGCGCCCATCTCTCATTCCAGCCTATCCCAGTTCCTCCCAAACGAACCCAATGGTCTTCCCACCATCTCCAGATTCTCTTCGACGCTGGACAGTCCCACCAGAGGTGTTTGGTGGACTCAAAGGGCCAGGTACAGCGTGAACAGCCCAACAGTACATCCATGCCCCTGCCACACCGTCGAAGGGGTCACCAACAGTGACAACATCCATAGCATACTTGCCTGTTTCAAATCTGGAATGAGGAGGAGAGTATTCCATAACTTTGAGAATCTCCTTCCTTCCCCTGCAAGTCTTCAATCAGCACTGAACTCCACCTGGAGACCGCAGTTCCTGCTGGATTCCTGAGTCCCCCTCCTGCCATTCTATAAGATTCTTTAACAGAGAAGCTTGACAGGTTCCAGGCCTGTGGACTGGGTCTTGGCTCGTTTCCACCCACCCATTGCCAGGCACATGGGTCAATCGCAAGATCCCTTTAATGGGAGCTTGCCTACCCAGGTGGTAGTTGTTAACCTTCCCCTCTTATCAAAGAACTGGATGACCCGAGCTTGGGGGGGGTTCGACCACTGCCTGATGACCTGTTCTCCTAGCAGGGGCAACTCCGCCGTGCGTTCTGCAACACTCCAGTGCTGCACTTTTATGAATCCACTCTGGGAGATACTCTGCACCTTCCAAATCACCTTCTCCCCCTCTTCTGGGCGGGGGACATACCAGCTGCCGACTGGGTCAATACCTTCGGGGCCTATTATGGCTCCCCATTGGGCTGTTATGCTCCTCCGGAAAGCATTCCAATGATCTTCCACGTTTCGAAGGCCCTAGAGCCTTGGGAGGAATTCGCTGAGGGGCTTCCAGTTTCCCAGCAGGAGAAACCACAGGTCTGCAACTCTCGCTACTCCCCTTCTTATCCAGGCTCGTCCAAAGGAGTTCACCTCACCTCCTGCTGCAAAAGGCAACCCTACCGCATTTACTAGGAGTGAACTCTCAAAGAGACATTGCTACTTTGTCCTTCGTGGTGGGTGGGGTCTGTGCTTCCAGCCGTTGCTTGAGCCACGCCCTCCTCACTGCGTCCCAAAATTTTGAAGACAGTTTCTTCCACAGGAAGGAGCCCACGAAGATGCATAGCCAGGCGTCCTCGGGTCTGCTCAGTTCCCAGTCCCTCATTATGAGTTTCTCTGCCAGGAGGATCCGGTCCTCTTTTGACTCATCCATGGCAACCTTTACTATCCACTGTCTCAGTTGCGCCTGTTTTTTCTGTAGTGGTTCAATCAGGCCCAGGCCCCCTTGGTCCTTTGGGTAGCACACCAGTTCCCACGGCACTTTTACTATAAAGCCTTCCTCTGCCAGGGCCCTCGGTTTCCACATAAAGCGTGTGGGCAGCCTCTTGATTACCGATGATGTTGTTGTGGCCAACTCTCTCACCGTGCCTTCAAACCACAGTAAGGAGAACAATGCCCCATTGATAATAAGAGCCCGCCCATAAAGCGACAGGTGTCATGCCGACCCCCACGCCTTAAGTCTTGATGCGATCTTCTGTTGCAGAACGTATCCTTGGACCGTCCCCATCAGGTGAGAACTCACCATTACTCCTAGGAAGCGCTCCCCCACCTCCGGATCAACCCTTAGCATTCCCCACTCCACTTGTAGTTGCAGGCCTTCTGGCAAAAGGTAGGTGGGCTTGCCCCAATTGACTTGGGCCTCCGACAGTAATGAGTATTCTGACAGTACCGATTCCAAGGCTCCTAACGACTCGACCGTATTAGCTGAGATTAAGAATAAGTCATCCGCAAGGGCTTTCGCTCCGCATTCACGGTCCACAGACACCGGTAAGCCTCTTATCAGCGGGTGTTTGCGAATTCTGTTGAGAGGGACTTCCAATTGGATCACAAAGAGCAGTGGGGCTAGGGGACAACCCTGACACAGCAACCTCGACAGTTGGAAAGGACTTGATAGATGGTCATTCACCTGCACCGTCAACGTTGCCACTGTGTACATTGCTATTACCCATTTGCAGAACCCATGCCCGAATCCCATCTTCCTTAGCGTGGTAAACACAAAGGACCAGCCTACTCTGTCGTAGGTTTTTTCAGTGTGAGTGTGTCTGACATTGCAGTTCTCTGCAGATGGGATCTGCCATGTGTGGGACAAGTGGAACATGCGGGTGACTAGGACCTGGGTTGGGTGCAGGGTGAGCTACGGGCACCTGGATATTCAGTTGGGAAGGTGGCGGCTGGGATTTCCGACAAGTTGGTCCGCCCGCCTCTACTAGTGTCGAACGTTCTGCTTGTTGAGGGGCTCCGCTCTGACGTTGCTGCCTGCCTTGGGGCTGTTGTTGCTGACGTGGCAACTTGGAGTTTGCCCATGTCCTCCTTTGACCGTCCATCTCCTGTCTTGGACAATTCTCCTCCATATGGAAATACCACCGGTATTTCCGACACCAATCAGAAAATGGAGTGGCAATTTCGATCGTCCCGATCTCCCCCTTCGGGGATTCTATAACCAGCGTGTCCTCGACTCTGAATCTGGCCTGAGGTTCCATGTCCATCTTGATGTTCATTAATTTAGGTTTGGAGCGATCTGCTGTTGGTGGATGCATGGCCTTCACTCCCAAAAACAACCCTTCAGCCGCAATCGGTAAGTAACACATGGCATCCAGCGGGACTCTTAAAGCAATGATCCAAAAGTTGGTACGTGCTTCCTGCAACTTCAATTCCTTCAGCTCCGCCTTGGTCATCCAAGGTTTGACCGTCGCTGAATACTCGGTCCCCCTGAGGTTGAGCTTTATCGACTGTCTCTGGACCAGCCATATAGCCACCTCTACTGCTTTAGCCACGTAAGATAAAACATTTGGGCTTTCAAACTTAATTCTTCCTCTACGGATTTCTGGGTTGAACAACCTTCTTGCCATCCACCCATCCTCATACGCTCTTACTAAATCCTCTTTGACGCTCCTCCCCAAATCTCGAGCTTCATTATGAAAGATGAAGATAACCGTACATATCTTCAACCATTTTTCCTTAATAGCATCAAAAGATTCATTTACCCTGAATCTCTTCCCTCGCTCATCAATTACCACTTCCCTTAAATTTTCCACTAATTGCATAATTCCCTCGTCGTAGCATTGACCAATTGAGTGTCGGACCCTATCCTCCATCGCCCATAAATTAATCGGGGGTGCCGATGCGGGGGGGGGCTCCCCTTTCTTCTCCACCAACGTTCCTCTCTTCCACTTCCATGTTGCTTTGGATCGTTTCAACTTCTTGGCCTCCTCTGCAGATCAATTTTGCAGTAAATTTTGTCCCCAACTCCCACATGCTCTTTCTTATTAGATACGATTCCAAGGGTAGACGTGGGTCTTCCCAAAAACCTTACCCCTCTTGAGAGTATGAAAATCGGACAGAGCCTCAGAGAGGAGGAGAGGACATCTTAAAGACCCACATAGGTGTGTGTAGGGACGATAGCAACCACTCGGTTGGACTTATTGTTACGGACTCCGCCAGGGCTCGATCCCTGGTCTATCTTTTTGTTGTTTCGGTTGCATCCCGTTTTCAGCCTGGCACCCTTTTTCCAAACCCCTCCTTTGGTACCGTAGGATTTTGGACATCTGGCGCCATGCTGCAATTCGGGTGCCACTTTCAAATACCGCATTTTTCAGTTCTGCCCTTGGGGCCTTTGCAGAAATGCCCCTGGTACCGTACGTGTCACCGGTACTCATATCGGCTCCCCGTACAGTACGGGGACCAGTCTCGTACCAGTTTTCAGATGCCGTACTCGTACTCAGTGGGACTTGCTCCTGTTCGGCATTCGCAATCCAAGACTGAGACTTTGTATCCTTGCCACTGTGTCTGCGTCCGACCCTCAGTCGTGTCGAGTGAGCGAGTGTGTGTGTGTGTTCCCACTCTCTCTCTCTCCCTCTGTTCTCCCTCGGCTTTCCCTGTGTCCCTCAGCCTCCCGCTCGTTACACTTATCCCCGCTATCTCCTCCCTCCTCTTCTATGTTTTTTCACCCCCTCCTTGTACCGAGCCAGGTAAGGTTTGAGATAGTTACTACCCTTGTCTTATAATCTTCTCCCTAGGCCTTCAAACCTTCCAATACCCTTCCTCCACTTCTTGGAATCATGCAGGCGTGTAGGCCTACTTCTTGGTCTCACGTTCCCAATCGGGGATGACGACGTCAACGTTGAACCACAATGCTCAAACCCGGGGTTTCTCGAGCCGGCGGGACTAGGAGTCAACAATTTTCAGGACAATCTCAAATACTAGTAGGGGAAGGTGAATGGAGACGAGGTGATCATCCGCTCTGACCCGTACTTAACAGATGGAGAATAAATCAACTACCTCTGGCTACTTGAATGAGCACCTAGAAATCGACAATATCCAGGATGTTTCCGAAGTCAGGTAGGGGAAGTTGGAAGACGTTGAAATAGACATCCATTATGCACAACACTCTTCTATGAAAAACAACTAACCTACCTCAGGCTGCCTTGAAAGAAGACCTCCGACGTTAGTCGATATCCATGCCCCGTCAACGATGTCGAGGTTGGCGACAAGGCAGGGTAAACGGTCGACTATGGGCGTCGACCCTTACCAACGCCGGTTCGGAGCGGCTGAAAAATGCGCTAAAATTTAGCATTGCCGCCCAGCCCCGACGCCCTCCCACCTCGATCAACATTTTGCAAACTTGAGCCAGCATCAAAAGGGTATCTCGCATATAAATCACAAAATATAGGGGCGGACATAAAGATTGTTTGATCCAGGGGTCTAGCAGCGGCCTACCTCGGTTGCTAAGGCACGCAAGTGACATTCGGCAGGTCTCGGGTTCAATCTCATGTACTTTCTTGGGCAAGCCATGCGCCTGCCACCTAGAGATAGGCCGTTGGTCCCTCTGAACGACATCGAGCAGAGACTGCTGAAGTTCGTGGGGGGAGGGGGAACCAGAGGGGAGACTGGCCCATCGAAGAAGCTTGGTCCTCATGCTACTACCTGACCCCTGGCCGGTATCGCCTACTTGCAAGTTGCGTGCAACTCCTGCGTGTTCCCTCGTGAAGGCTTGAACTCGGGTTGGTTGCTACTCTGTTCCTCGTGTTGTAGTCCCATTGGAATTCGCAGCCCTAAGGCTGTGGTATAGTGGGTTTCGGCATCTGTGTCAAGGTGTCGCATTTTTGGCGGCGGGCGACCAGGACCCAAAGTGGGTTCTTAGGGGGCAAAAAAATATGGGGGACCGGTCCTTGGCAAAATTGCGGACTACCTACAACTAGCTCTGCCAGAACCGAGATTTTTGGAAAAAGGAAGGACTGGTCTTCAGGTGGAAGCGGACCCCAGAAAGAAGTGGGGGGCGTTGGACCGGTCCTCGGGTGGAAGCGGACCCCAAAAAAAAGTGAGGGCATCTGAACTGCAAAAGGGCCCTCAAGCCCATGCGTTGAGGCCCGTCTTCTCAAAACACGGAGGTCAAGTGCAACGAAGTTAGCGTTTTGCAAGAAGTAACTTTGACGATTTTCTGTGCACAGAGGAACCTGCAAAAAATTTTGAAATTTTGAGAATCCATAGATGAGGTCGTGTTTTTTTCAGGAAAAATATTAGACCATTTACGAAAAATAATGTCGACCACGAAATAATCGTCACTCCGATTCGGCACATTTTCCATTTTTGCCACTCAACCATGTGTGGACCAACTGCAAAAGTACTCTAAATTCAGTGAGTTTTTGCGCTAAAAAAAAATAGTGAAAAAAACTGAAAATTAAACGACTCGTAGATTTTGTTGTGATCTTTCCAAGAAAAATGCTAAATAAATTTAAAAAAATTATTCAAACCTATATTTCAATTTTTCCATTCAACCTCTCTCTCTCTCTCTCTCTCTCTGGTAGGCCCCCTCCCTTCCTCTCTCTCTATCTCTCTTTCGTTCTCTCTCTCACTCTCTGTCTCTCTCGCTCACTCATATAAACAAATAGAACAAAACTCCTCTCCCTCTTTCTTGTGTGCGGTCTTAATCTCATTGCTTTAACTACCTTAGGGCTGCGTTCCCCGCACCCACGCAGTAGACAATTTATTAATTTATATTGCATTCTTCGAGGGTCCAGTGCATGGGCGACACCTCATTACCAAAAAACGTGAAAAAAAAAATATTTTGGCCTTATGGGTATGCTATGAAAACGGGAAAGAAAAAAAAACTACTTTGAGACCAATGGTGAATGATGTCGGGGAAGGTCCTCACCGAAGCCATAGTCAGAGTATTACTTTCTATAATGCATCTGCCCACTATTACTGCAACCTTTTTGTTGTTGTTGTACTTAGCCCAACTATCGGCGATAAAAAAATAGAGTACAAATGTTTCTAATAGGATGAATTTGGACGCTCCTATAGTTGCCTCATACATTTTCTAAAAATATGGCTTCTTAACCAACACAACTTTATGAAGTATTTGTGGTTTAAATCTTTTTTTTTTTTTTTTTCCTTAGTGTTCTGCCAGCGAGGCATGGTGTTTTTCACACAGGGGGCGAAAACACCCTAAAAGATTCTGTTAAACTTTCAACTAATTATTTAGAAGTAGGTAATATCGATGAAGTTCACTAATAAAGCCCGGAGGTAGGATTGAGAACAATCATCCTTTGAAGAAAAACATCTATCGTATGATCGATCTTGTGAAGCAGCAATGTCGGACTGAATACCCTTACACGGGTATTTGACCATGTTTTTACAGTCGACATAGAGATGATATCGATCGACCATGACGGAGTCGATTTGAAGTTAAAAGTGCGTGCGCTTTTCGCATGACACTTTGAGACGATTTCCTTGACCATGGAGACCGAGGTGTATCAAAACGAAAATTTGGTTACTACGCACGCGTATTATTGAGATGCATGCTATGATAATTAGGATCGATAATAATATTTTTCGACCGAAGAGAGGGATCAGTTTAGTATAACAAAGCCTGCACGTCGACCTTGATGGTTGAAAAGGCTCATAAACCAACCATGCGCAAGGCGCGTGCCTTGGCACAACACTCGTTAAAAATCAGGACAGTAAAAATATTAGAAACCCCTTGACCGCGGAGGTCGAGGGGTCGATTGGGTTAGTGTTATGTAGGGTAAACCTACGACACTCATTGAAACTTAATTTTCAGTAAGTTAATCAAGATAAATTAATATACGCCCCAACCATACGACCGGAGTGATCAAAAGTGTGTAATCATTGGGTTTGCAGTAGCGTCTGGAATGCTACCACTTGCTCGAGTGGTCCCACCGTCCTTACTTGTATACCGCGAGTGAGGTTGAGGCTCTCGCTCAATCTCCTATATGTAAAGAAGTATTTGTCCTTACTTGTATATCGTGAGTGAGGTTGAGGCTCTCGCTCGACCTCCCATATGTAAAGAGGCATTTGTCTCTTGAACGGTGACTTCCTGGTCACTGGACCTCAAAAGGAACCGGTATCTCCTCCCTTTCGGAGGGAACATCATTGCAGGATATAATATCATCCGCACAGACACAATACTCAAACTATTTGGACGAGTATCCGCCCACCTTTAGGCCAATCACTACCGAGCCTCTGAAAATGCTAACTTTTGTATTATTTTGCTCGGCTTCAGGTTTCTAACACATCTACCACTACTTGAGTGGTACTGACCCACCTGCTACTTGAATGTTTTCCCGCTGCAACCATCAAAGCCACGACCACAGGTAAGTTTTGACATTGCAAGGCATCTTAAAAATAAAAAAATGCCCTTGCAGGTCACACACACACTTAGGCAGAGAAACACTCAGACAAACTTGCAGATCAGCGAGCACACACCCGCACAAACTTGCGGGTCACATACATATTCAAGCCGAAAAACACTCACACATACAAACTTAGAAAACTCAGCAGAAAGCAGGAATCACAGCGAGGCATTCATTCTAGCGGCAAAACTAAAAAACCAGTTGTGTTATCAGTCCGTGTTTTGCGGATTCCTCACCTATGAGCATCAACTATCTCTGCTCAATGTTATTCGGGGTGGGGTGGGGGGGCAACAATCTATCTCTAGGTGGTGGGCATCAAGCTTGCCCAGGAAATTACATGAGGCTAATGGGGATTGAACCCAATACCTCCTAAATGTCACTTACGGGCCTTACCAACTGAGCTAGTATATCGTTGTTGTAGCAAACACCCTTACAAGGGCATTTGTTGTAGTTTTTAAAGATCGCACTGGATGCGCCCTTGATAGAGGTAACGCGCTGATGGGACAAATCCTGTTAGGGCGCTCACCTCGGCAACCTTGCTCTTGATGAGAGTCCGAATCGAATACGATCGAATTAGAGAGTGTGTGGAACACGCAT